TCTTGGCCGTGCCCGGTGTGGTGGGACAGGTGGAGGAGGGACAGACAGGAGGCTTGTGCGGGGCAACGCTGGCCAAGGAGGGGGCGCCTGCTCCAAGGGAGGGGGCACTTGAGGTGGGTTTTGAAGGATGACCAGGAACTGACTGGATTCTACAAGGCGGGTGGGAGAGCACATTGGAGCAGAAGGAAGCTGGAGTCTGGGCGAACGGAGGCCAGGGTTGCTGGAGTTGAGGCTGGGGGCAGGTGTGGGTGGTAAGGGTCTGTGGGCAGTGCCCAGAGGGTCCTGAAGGTTGGAGGGGGGCACAGACTTGAGGACCTGGGCAAGGATCACAAGGGCTGCTCATGGATGTGACAGGCCCTGTTGGGTCCTGAGCCCCCTCCCAAGGGCCTTCGGGCAGTTTCACTGGTAGCAGATGAGCTGGTTGGGGGAGGCCCCTTCCACCTGGGAAAGGCCATGGGCATGGAGGGCATGTGTGTGTGTGTGTGTGTGTGTGTGTCTGTGGATTGGTGTGTGTGTGTGGATGGGTGTGTGTGGATGGGTGTGGATAGGTGTGTATGTGTGTATGGGTTTGTGTGTATGGGTGTGGGGGATGTGTCTGTGTGTGGATGAGTGTGTGTGTGTGTGTGTGTGGGTGGATATGTGTGGATGGTGTGGATGGGTGTGTGTGTGTGTCTGTGTGTGTGGATGGGTGTCTGTGGGTGGGTGTGTGTCTGTGTGTGGATGGGTGTGTGTGTGTGTGGATGGTGTGGATAGGTGTGTGTCTATGTGTCTGTGTGTGTGGATGGGTGTGTGTGTGGATGGGTGTTGTGTGGATGGGTGTGTGGATGTGTGTGTAGATGGGTGTGTGTGTGTGTGTGTGTCTGTGTGGATGTGTGGATGGGTGTGTGTCTGTGCTTTTTAACAAGTGTATGTGTATCTCAGGTGTGTGAGTGTATACGCATGAGGGTTATGTGCATGTCTGTATATCTGACCTCGATATGTATGGATGTGGTTTGTGTCTCTCCAAATGCATGTGTGTCTGTGTGTTTATGCATGTCCCTGGGCGTGTGTGTTCAGGTGTTTGGATTCACATGTATGCCTGCATGGTTCTGTGTGTGTCTGTGTGTGTGTGTTGTCTGTGTGTGTGCACCTGTATGTGTGTCTGTGTGTGTGTTGTCTGTGTGTATGTGTCTGTGTGTATGTGTCTGTGTGTGTGTCTGTGTCTCTGTGTGTGTGTGTGTGTGTGTGTGTCTGTGTGTGTGTGTGTGTCTGTGTGTGTGTGTCTGTGTGTGTGTGTCTGTCTGTGCCTGCCGACGCCCCTGCCAACAGCAGCCTGGGGTGCAGCCCTGCCGCCCTGTGTCCGGAGCACACTGCTCAACTCCTTCCATGCCATCTGAGCCCTCTCTGCTTCCAGTTCCTGGGCAGCTTTGAACTCCAGCTTCTGTCTTTGGCTGCCCAGCTCCATCCCGACTTGCCTGGGTCCCACACCCAAAAAAACCAGAGTAGCCAACGGGTGCCTGAGCACAGGAAAGGGTCCAGAGAGCTGCCCAGCCCCACAAGGAGCTGCGTCCTGTCTCCACTGGCCAGCCTGAGGCCCCTCCCCACTCCAGAAAGAAGAGCTGGTCAGGAGCTCGTGTGGAGGCCTTCCGAGCACTCCCCATCCGTTTCTCCAGCCTTCTGGGATTGTCACCCTAGGACTTTGTTTTGGACAACCTGAGAGTCCCAGGGGCTTGGCATGGGGGAGCCGGGCATCTCTGCAGCTGCTGAGTGAGGCTCGGGAACCGAGTTTTCTTGATAACAGCAGCTTCCTCTGACAGATCTGCCCACTCCAGGCTGTTCCCATGGGGCTGCAAATCTCAAGACTCTGTCCCAAAGACAGAACAAGAGAAGGGAATTCAGAACCCAGGCCTGGCCAACCACGGTACCCCACCCCTGAGACGTGATCATTGGCCCAAGTTGGGAACATGACCGAAGCGAGACTCATGAGAGTCCTTCCCTGGACATCTGTATAGGGAAGGACCAGGCTGAGAGAGGGAAAAACCTCTCTTTTCTCTGAGGTCCTTGAGATGAGGTGACAAATGCCTCCGCCCGTCTGCGAACGAGAGCCTGTGTTTCTCCTGCTCCTCATGAAGAAGCCCGGGGGCCTTAGGGAAGAGCCAGGGGCTGGATGGACTGTCCAGAAAGAGAGGCTGCGGTGGCCTGTTGTATGAGCCAACAAATCCCTCTGGCTGGAGTCGGACTGCTGTCTCTTGCAACCACAGGAGCCCTGGGCGATCCCTGCCTGGGTTTCCAGGGAGCACCCTTGCCTGCCTGCGACATGCCTCACGGTTCCTCCCTGGGCTTCTCAGATCCCGCCCAGAGGCTGTGGCCACCCTCTCCCACTCTTCTCAAGCTCCTAAACCCACTTCCACTTCCTCCACTGCCACCTGTTTCAGTGGGAAAGCTGAACTTCTTTAACTCGTTCCCTCTCTGGCTCCAATTTCCTCCACTGCCGCTTCCCCATCCTGCCCTCCTCCTGCCCAGACTCGGTGAGGCAGTGGCCCTCCTCTGGCCCTTGCTCAAAGCTGACCAAGAGAGCAGGGATTGGGGGCTCAAAGCCGGTAGTTCCCAAACCTGCCTTCGCTTTGGGAATCACTGAGGAATTACAGGCTCCTAGGCAGCGTCTCTGCAGGCAGGCTTCGGAATTGGTATGAATCACCACCTCTAGGAGGGCAAGGTGTCTTCCTGGTTGTTGGGCTTGGCTTTATTGGGCAGGACTGGGCCATGGAAGGGTACTCAGTGTTCCCTGCAGCAGGAGGTTGCCTGGCATGCTGCTTCTATGAGGACTCACATGCAGCATTTTTTTTTTTTGAGACAGAGTCTCTCTCTGCTGCCCAGGCTGGAGTCCAGTGGCACAATCTCAGCTCACTGCAACCTCCGACTCCCAGGTTCAAGAGATTCTCCTGCCTCAGCCTCCCAAGTAGCTGAGATTACAGGCGCCCGCCACCACACCCAGCTAATTTTTGTATTTTAGTAGAGACGGGTTTCACCATGTTGGTCAGACTGGTCTTTAATTCCTCACCTCAAGTGATCCGCCCACCTCGGCCTCCCAAAGTGCTGGGATTACAGGCGTGAGCCATGGCCCCTGGCCGCAGGCTTTCAAAACTTCTTCCTGTTTTTGCTCAATGCCTTGCCATCTGGGCTCCTTTCTGACCCAGTCTTCCCTTGGGCAAGGGGACTTCCCAGACTCCAGACCATCCACTCACTGAAGACACGATCATCTCCCTCCCACTCTCTGCTGGCTCCATCCTGGCCTTCTCCCCCTCCTACCCCTTCAAAGGAAGACCTTCCCCCAGGAAAATGTGTTGTCTCTTTTCATTTTCCATCTCTACTTCCCTTCCCTCCGCCCTAGATCCTGACAATGCCTCGGGTTCACACGCGAGCCATTTCTGGGGGACACCAGTTTGCCTGGCGGCATCCCCCCAGTGCTTGTCTGGGCAGTGACCTCACCAGCCTTGAGGTCCTTCCTGCCCTGCCCTGCAGGATGGGTACTGGTGGCTTTCAAGGACCAAAGATAGTTGAGAAGCCGTAGTTCTCATCCCACACTTCCCCATCGGGTGGCATGCTACACGGAAATCAACCCTCAGGGCCAACGCTACCCTACTGGAAACATCTGTTAGCACAAAGCACAGAAACAGACACCCAGCCTCTGCCCACGGGCTCAGGGAAGTCCCACTCTGTCCTGTCACAACTACTTTTTTTTTTTTTTAGCGGGAGTTTCACTCTTGTTGTCCAGGCTGGAGTGCAGTGGCACGATCTCAGCTTACTGCAACCTCCACCTCCCGGGTTCAAGCGATTCTCCTGCCTCAGTCTCCGAAGTAGCTGGGATTACAGGCATGCGCCACCTTTCCCGGCTAATTTTGTATTTTTAGTAGAGACAGGGTTTCACCATGTTGGTCAGGCTGGTCTCAAACCCCCGACCTCAGGTGATCCTCCCACCTGGGCCTCCCGAAGTGCTGGATTACAGGCGTGAGCCACCGCGCCCGGCACAACGGCTTTTCTCAGGAATTCAAAGACATGCTCATCAGTGACTAGCTAACCTCCAGTCAGAGCACTACCTGTGGGGGTCCAGAACCACTCAGAGAAACTTCCAGGCCCAGGGGACTGCCCTGCTGGTGGCTGGGCTCATCCAGGCCCAGGCAGAGGGGACTTGTGGCACTTCTTCCCAGGCACACATCTTCAGCAACACTTTTTTTACTACAGAACAATGATTTCTGACCCTCTCGTGCTAATGTATAGACCCTCTGCTGTGACAGTAGACAACCACATTTGAAGTGCTGGCTGTGGCTGCCCCGGAGTGTAGACTGCTGCTCAGCGTCTTTCAAAAACACCGACTAAAATTAATTCACATGCTCACAAAATCACACAGCAGCACTGAGGCGATTACAGCCAGTGCAGCTACCTACCCAGGGCCGCTGCTGGGCTCCAGGCTCTCGCCTCACAAGGGCCACCTCTCTGCAAGGCACACAGGACACATCACTTGGGGGTCCCTCTGGCCCAAGTTGACCCCCACCTTGTCCAGTCAAGCACCGACCCAGTGTATCTTCTGACCAGTCAGATACTCCCAGCCCTGGGTCTCTGTAGTCCTTGCCTCTGGGCAAAGCCCTGTGCTTGGGTCGGTCCCAGCAGGGTCGGATTCCAACCAATTCTGTGAAGGGGTGGGGTATAAAAGAAAGTGGAGCAGCCAGGCCGGTGGCCCACACCTGTAATCCCAACATTTTGGGAGGCCGAGGCGGGCGGATCACGAGGTCAGGAGTTCGAGACCAGCCTGACCAACATGGTGAAACCCTGTCTCTACTAAAAACACAAAAATTAGCTGGGTATGGTGGCGTGCACCTGTAATCCCAGCTACTTGGGAGGCTGAGGCAGGAGAATCAGTTGAACCTGGGAGACAGAGGTTGCAGTGAGCCGAGATAGTGCCATTGCACTCCAGCCTGGGCAACAAGAGCAAAAGTCTGTCTCAGAAAAAAAAAAAAAGTGGAGGTGGCGATGGGCTGAGGTGCCAAAAGATGGAAAAGGGGCATTTCTCAGGGTCCTCCAAGGGAGCAACCTGAGGTGCACAGAGTGGCCTTGTGACAAGGACACAGAACCCACCTCCATCTTGGCCTGGGACTTCCTGCGGCCTATGCAGCCAGCTCGTCCACCTGTCGCCCACCCTCTTCTGGGATCCGCCGTTCTGGAACTTCCCTCTACCTCTGGGCTCTGCCTTCAGCCAGGGTAGGGGGCTGTGGGAGGGCAGATCCCATCACAGACTGGCCTGCCTTCCTCAGGGGCCTCACTCAAATCCACAGGAATCTGCTGGGGCTGTGCCCTCTGGCCGGGGCAGGTGGAACTGGCCGGCGTGGCGGTGGGGAGACCACCGTGCTTCCTGTAAGGACTGGCCCAGCTGGCCCACAGGGGAACGCATTGGAGTAACAGGAGCCTGGCCTGGCTCCCACACTCCCCGCCCCCACTCCACCATCAGGGACTCGCGTGTAATTGTCATTCATTTCCCCTCTCTGAGTTCAGCCTAGGCACAGATCAAATGATTCCATGATGACAAACCGCCTGTCTCAGTTGACCAGATTCCACCGGTGAACGCTCGGCTGACCTTGGGCAGCTCCCTCTGTTCCCACCTCCTTGTGCTTCTGGGGCCTTGTGGAGTAGGCTGGACATCAGTGATAACACTAACCATAGCCAGCCTGTCACCAAGCTTGTCACGTAGAGGACGCCTATGTCTGCTTCACTGGCGTCATCTCACAAGGCCCTGAGCTGGCAGGAAATTGAGGTCTCAAGGGGATAAGCCACCTGCCCCCAGTGACAGCAAGGAAGTGCAAGACTCTGACCCAACCCCCATGCCTACTATCCCCAAACATAGGCTCAAAACCCCTTCCCAGGGACAGCTGTGTCCACCCCTCAGCAGGAGGAGTCCCCACAGCACCAGGTGAGAGAGAGGTCAGTGCTGAGGCCGAGCAGGTGGCTCTCAGCAGAGCCCCTGTGTGGAGCCAGGGAAGCCAGGCCACACTTGCGGGGTGAAGTGGGGAACCCGGAAGCCTGGGCAGTGCAGCAAAGCGCTTGGTACCCCATCCTTAACATTCAAGGGCACCTTGGAGGGTGAGGAAAAACTTAAGACACGATAGAATGTTCTGGAATGTTGTAAGTGCCAATTAGGGAATGTGAAGGGCCTTTCAGGCAGAATTCCAGAGGAATGCTGGGGCCGATGCACTTTGTAATGGCCCTCCAAAAGTCCCAGAGCAGGAGTGGGCTGCACAGAGAACACGGAGGGGGCCTTCTTGGTCCAGCCAGGTGACTTCCGGAATCCTCCAGCAGGGAGAACCATCGCTGGTCCTGCTGTTATTGAGGTTGTTCTCGTCTTGTTCTGTGTTGAGGATCGGTGCTTAGCACCAGCAGGATCTCCAAAATGCCCACAGAATTGAAATGGAAATTCTTTGTGGTCCAATCCTAACAGCTGACGTCTACTGGGCAGCTACAATATGCCAAGCCTGGTTCTGGGCCCATGCATGACTGGTTCACTGAATCCTAGAGGCAAGCACCATTATTCTCACCTTACAGGGAAGGAAATGGGGCTGCAGAGGGGAACTCCCAGCCAGCTAGGAGAGCAGCAAGCCGAGTTAGTAAGCACGTCCAGGAGGCCTGCCTGGCCTGAAGGCTGGCGTTGAGCCCTTCCTCAACCTCCCTCCTCCTCCCCACCCCCCCATAGCAGTGACAAGGAGCTACTTCCTATCCAGCACACAGGGAGGCTAGGAGTCCCCAGCTGGATCCTAAGCCCTCAAGGCCAGGGTGAGGCGTCTTAACCTTCTAGGCCTGGTGTGCACAAGCAGACTAATAAAGGCCGGAGGACAAAAAGGGTTTTGAGTGATAGGTGAAAAAAGAAAGGAGATAGGGCTAAGGCAACAGGCCTTCTCTTGGTGGTGGGGAGCCCTCAGAGGTGGGAGGAACCCCAGAGGTGGAGAAGGGGACACGGGGGAGCGGAGAGCACAGAGAAGGCTTCCAGAGCCACAGGCGCTAGAGTCCGGCCTTCTCCCCTAGCGGCTGGCTCTGCTCCCGATCCTGGGTAGCCCAACAGCTGGGCAAGGGGTCTGCCTGGGCCCGGGAAAGGTGCGGGGGCAGAAGGTAGCAGAGGGAGAAAAGGAGCCCCTGCCTGCCTCTGACCCAAAGACAAGTCTGAATGGGACCAGAGGGAAATGGCTGGGCCTTGGGGCGCCCCAAGGTCTTGGAGGGGACCAGGGTGTTCAGGTTTCCCACAAGTCCAGGAGCGGCCGGCGACTCCCCCGGGAGGCTCCGCCAGGGACAGGCATCCCGGGGGGTGAAGGTGACCCCCGTGGGCTCCGAAGCCCCGCCTCGGCTGTGCACAGCACGCTTGGCGCGCTTGGGGAGCCTGGGGGCCTGTCTCGGAGGAACGGGGACAGGCGGCGGCGGGGCGGGCTCGGAGCGCCGAAGGGGTTAAGGCACCTGGGCCGCCGCCCCTGTCGGCCCCTCCTCCCGCGGCCGGGAAAAGGAAAGTCGCGGCGGGGGCGCTGCCCGGCCTCCGTCCCCGCCCGCCCGCCGTCCTGCCGGCCGGAACCGCGGCGCCCAGAGCTGCGAGCCGCGCGCTCCTCCGCCGCCCCGGCCCGGGCCGCCATGTCGCTGTGGTGAGTGGGGCGCGGGGCCGTCGGGGGCCGGGGCGGGGGCGCGGGCCCGGGGCTCTCCCTCCTCCGCGGCTGCAGACGGGCGCCGGGACTCCCGGATGGGAGATGCCCCCGGGCGCGCCGCGCCGGCCTCAGTTTCCCGGGGGCGGACGGGCGGGCGCGGCGGCAGCGGCGGCTGGAGATGTCCGCGGTGTGCGGCCCCGGACCCGTGCGGGGCGGCGGGGGGTCTCGGGGCGCCACGCTCAGCTCCAGAACCCCGGCGGCTGGGACCCCAGGTCTCGTCGGCAGCCGGGTCCCCTCGCCCTTCCAGGCTTTCGAGGGCCTCCTGCTCCCGGGCCACCCTCCTCCCTTCGGGGCTTCCTTCCGCGGGAGCTCGGCTGCCGCCCGCCCAGCCCCTCTCCGTCCCTCCCGGGCTTTCCCTACGGATGGGGCGGACCCGGCAGGTGGAGCGCCCGCAGCCCTGGGTCTCGCCGCCCTCTCGGTGCACCCCCGACCTCCCCTCTCCCAGCCTCGGTGGGCCGCTTCCCTCGAACCCCTTAGGGCTGGCAGGGCCGGATCCGAAGCCCTCTGCTCCCCTCCCCGGAAAGTTGGATCTTGGGTCACACCCCCCAGCCCGCACCTAAGGTTACCCTGTCTTCCTCCAACCACAGGCCCCAGCAACCTGGGCACCCTATGGGAAAAATGTCTCTCTGTGGGGCTCAGCCTGCATTCACCCTGGGTGCCCTCAGGCCACCCCAGGCGTCTCCATGGGCTCCCTGTCTCTCCTGCTACCCTGCTCCTCCCCCTTGGAGGTCAGCGCCATCTCTCTTCGAGGCTGGCCCTGGAAGGCCACTCTGCTGTCCCTGGAGCTCTCAGCCCCCAGGTCTTCACTGGGGAGGCTCGGACAGGCGTCCTGGCAGCCGCCGGAGGGTGAAATGAGGAGAGAGGTCCTTCAGGCCAGGGGCACAGGCCCCAGGGCTTGAGACCACCAGCACTCCTGGCAGACAGCTCTAATTTCTGCTTCTGAAACTGGTGTGGCAGGGGGGGTCTTTGGGCAAGGAGGTTCCCTCCAGGGCTAGGGCTGCAAAAGTGTCCCCTCGGGGTGGGAGGAACCCCAAAGGTGGAGAGGGGGACACGGGGGAGCGGGGAGCACAGAGAAGGGGAATAGAACTGGGGCCTCATGTGTTCTAATGGGGTGTTGTGAGCTGGGGAAGTTAAGGGGGGTGCGGGGCAGTGCCATGCTAGAGGTGCCCGCTGCATCCTGGGCCTCCCTCAACCATCAGGGCTGCTCTCTGTTGGGTCAGAAGGACGAGAGAGTGGGAGGAGGGCCAGTCTTCCTCAGGTCCCAAGCTCCAGTGTGCCCCACATGTGATGGAGCTCCAGGCGGCACAGAGGATCAGAGGGGTGCCCTCCCAATGACTCTGGCTCCGAGTCACCTGATGATACCGATGCCTACTGCTGTGGGGGTTGCACAGGGAAATGAAAGCCATTGGGGGCTGAGTGTGGTGGCTCATGCCTGTAATTCCAGCACTTTGGGAGGCCAAGGCGGGCGGATCACGAGGTCAAGAGATGGAGACCACCCTGGCTAACCCTGTCTCTACTAAAAATACAAAAAATTAGCTGGGTGTGGGGGTGCGTGCTTGTAGTTCCAGCTACTCAGAAGGCTGAGGCAGGATAATCACTCGAACCTGGGAGGCGGAGGTTGCAGTGAGCCGAGATTGCACTACCGCACTCCGGCCTGGCAGTATAGCGAGACTCTGTCTCATAAAGAAAAAAAAGAAAAAAAAAGAAAGCTATTGGGGCTCCGGGGGTGGGGAACAGGGCAGAGGTCTCCACCGCAGCCTCTCCTGGTAAGGTGACAGCACTCCCCCAACTGCACACCGGCTTCCTGGCACTTCATATAGCACTCCAATCTGTGTTTTAGCCCCATTTGGGGAAGAAGAAATCGTGGCGCAGAGCGGTTGTGAATCACTCATTTAGCTTGTAAGCGGCAGGGCCTGATTCCACAGTGCTCCTTGAGGAGAGGGCAGAGTGGGAGAGGCAGTGGGACCCTCCTCTGACCACTCGGTGGCTCCAGGACTGAGTCTGTGCCCAGGTCCACTTGCCCATCTGGGGCTACCCAGCCTCCCAAGGGGGGCACCAGAAGAGTCGTGGGCTCATGTTTTCTCAGTCCTCTGTACTGTCCACTCTCACCTACAGGAAGAAAACCATCTACCGGAGTCTGTGCCTGGCCCTGGCCCTGCTTGTGGCTGTGACCGTGTTCCAGCGCAGTCTCACCCCCGGTCAGTTTCTGCAGGAGCCTCCGCCACCCACCCTGGAGCCACAGAGGGCCCAGAAGCCAAACGGACCGCTGGTGAACTCCAACAACTTCTGGAAGAACCCGAAGGATGTGGCCACGGCCATGACTGTGGCCTCTCAGGGGCCCCAGGCCTGGGACGTGACCACCACTAACTGCTCAGCCAACATCAACCTGACCCACCAGGCCTGGTTCCAGGGCCTGGAGCCGCAGTTCCGGCAGTTTCTCTTCTACCGCCACTGCCGCTACTTCCCCATGCTGCTGAACCACCCAGAGAAGTGCGGGGGCGATGTCTACCTGCTGATGGTCATCAAGTCGGTCATCACACAGCACGACCGCCGGGAGGCCATCCGCCAGACTTGGGGCCGCGAACGGGAGTCAGCGGGCGGGGGCCGGGGCGCCGTGCGCACCCTCTTCCTGCTGGGCACGGCCTCCAAGCAGGATGAGCGCATGCACTACCAGCAGCTGCTGGCCTATGAGGACCGCCTCTACGGCGACATCCTGCAGTGGGACTTTCTCGACACCTTCTTCAACCTGACCCTCAAGGAGATCCACTTCCTCAAGTGGCTGGACATCTACTGCCCCCACGTCCCCTTCATCTTCAAAGGCGACGATGACGTCTTCGTCAACCCCACCAACCTGCTAGAATTTCTGGCTGACCGGCAGCCACAGGAAAACCTGTTCGTGGGTGACGTCATGCAGCACGCTCGGCCCATCCGCAGGAAGGACAACAAATACTACATCCCGGGGGCCCTGTACAGCAAGGCCAGCTACCCGCCATATGCAGGCGGCGGTGGCTTCCTCATGGCCGGCAGCCTGGCCCGGCGCCTGCACCACGCCTGTGACACCCTGGAGCTCTACCCCATCGACGACGTCTTCCTGGGCATGTGCCTGGAGGTGCTGGGCGTGCGGCCCACGGCCCACGAGGGCTTCAAGACTTTCGGCATCTCTCGGAACCGCAACAGCCGCATGAACAAGGAGCCGTGCTTCTTCCGTGCCATGCTGGTGGTCCACAAGCTGCTGCCCCCCGAGCTGCTGGCCATGTGGAAGCTGGTGCACAGCAACCTCACCTGCTCCCGCAAGCTCCAGCTGCTCTGACCCAGGCCGGGCCACCAGGACAGGCCAGGGCACATGCTCCTGAGCCCCCATCATATCAGGGCTGGAACAGTAGTGCCCAGGCCTAGCCCTTGGTCCCCAAGGGGAGGTGGAGGGTGGAGGCCTACGTGCCACTGGGTGTGCTGGGGTGCAGATAGCCAGAGAGGGACCTCCCTGTGTGGATAATTCCAGGAAACTAGGCCCAGGAACGGCTGGAGCTGCCCAGTCTGGAGGCCCTCTCCGAGAAGTGACCTGGTCCGTGGCTGGCCCCTCAAACCTGGTGGGAGGTCCTGGCGATCTCTGGAGGTACTGTGCTCAGGTACCTGGGCTAGGCTTGGCCTGATGAGTCTGTGGCAGCCCCTCATCTTCACAGGGAAGAGTCTTCTGTGAAATGCCTCAGTCTCCCCAGCGGCCAGGCGGGCCTGGCCGGAGAAACCTGACCCTGTGCAGGCTCACAGGCGCCCCCAGGCCACGCGATGGTCTCCCAGCAGGCTCTCCACAGCCCCAGGCCTGCCTGCAGCCGGGCCGTCTCCCCTCTGGGGCCTTGGCTCCTGGCTGTGTCCTGTAACACCTAGAGGGGCAACCGCTCTAACTACCTCAGTGCCCCTCAGAACCTCCCACCCCACCCCAAAACAGGGCAGAAGAGCAGCACTCCTGGCCCCCCGAAACCCCAGTGCTGCCAACCCCAGCCAGAGGTGAGTCCCTCCCGCAGTTCCCACCCCCCCAGGCCTGGCTCCCTGGCTGGAAAGCAGCCGCTTTGGCCCTGGAAGTGGACATTCCTCTATTACTGTGAAGTCTTATTTATGAAGAATGTGGAGGGAGAAGGCTCCAGGCTTCAGGAGGGGGTGGTGTCCTCCCTGGCCCCCCTCCTTCCCTTCCCTCATTCCAGCTGCCTGCCCCCAGCACCCCCAGGCCCCTCATAGCCCCCTCCAGAGCCCTGCCCCCCTGCATCCTGCTTCTGCAGGGCTTAGTGGACCAGCGGCTGCCCTGTGCAAGGTGGCTCAGCCGTGGAGTGGTGCAGAACATTGCCACCTCCTACCTCAGCAGGGGTCACCTAGGAAAGATGGAGGGATCGACTATTTTCTCAATAAAATGGGACTTTTTTTTTTTTTTTTCTGGTGTGAAACTGCCTGTTCCCAGGTCCATCAGAGAGCCTGTCTGGGGCTGAGGTTGCCAGATTTCGGAAGACACAGTTTGTTCCTTGTTCTTGGCTGGGGGATACACAAGGACTTCTTGAAGGGATGTAGAGGGGGCTGAGTGCTGGATTACAGTGGGGATGGGGGTGTGGCAACAGAAAGATGCGGGAGCTAGCAGTGCACCCGGCCCTTGCCTGTGCCCTGGTGGACAGCTGAGCTGTGGCTCAGGCGTGGACCAGTGCCTTCCTGTCCCTGCCAAGGGTGAGGCCAGAGTTGGCCTGAGGCTAATGTTTTGGTGGGTGGGATTAGATCAGTGTGCTGAGGCCGGTGGGCTCCCTGAGGCACCTTCCAGTGAAAGCACTGAAGTGGCTTATGGCCCTGTGCCAGGGACCTTGGCCCCAGCTGCTGACCTCCAGGATGGGGAGGGAGCTGCCTCCCAGAAGAGCCACTCAGGCAGCAGTAGAGCAAGCCGGCGGCTCCCTGCCTGCACCCAGCTCAGGGGAATCCCAGAGGGGTCAGATGCCCCTGGAGGGAAAGGGGACAGCACTGCTCTTTCTCCCTCCCCAGCACGGGTCTTCCCACAGTTCCCTCTCAGCCAGCTGGCTGCATAATTTGCAGAGCCCAGTGCAAAATGAAATTACAGGACCCTGGTTCTAAAAAGGTATTAAGAATTTTCAAAAAATTTTTCAAGTGGCCAGGTGTGGTGGCTCACACCTGTAATCCCAGCACTTTGGGAGGCCAAGGCGGGTGGATCACCTGAGGTCAGGAGTTTGAGACCAGCCTGACTAACAGTGAAACCCCATCTCTGCTAAAAATACAAAATATTAGCCGGGCGTGTTGGCATGCACCTGTAATCCCAGCTACTCCGGAGGATGAGGCAGGAGAATCACTTGAACCCAAGAGGTGGAGGTTTCAGTGAACTGAAATTGTGGCATTGCACTCCAGCCTGGGCAACAGAGTGAAACTCTGTCTTAAAAAAAAAAGAATTTTAAGGCCGGGTGCGATGGCTCACATCTGTAATCCCAGCACTTTGGGAGGTACAAGCGGGTGGATCACAAGGTCAGGAGTTTGAGACCAGCCTGGCCAACATGGTGAAACCCCATCTCTACTAAAAATATAAAAATTAGCTGGACATGGTTGTGTGCGCCTGTAGTTCCAGGTACTCAGGAAGCTGAGGCAGGAGAATCACTTGAACCCAGGAGGCGGAGGTTGCAGTGAGCTGAGATTGCATCATTGTACTCCAGCCTGGATGACAAAGCGAAACTCCATCTCAAAAAAAAGGAATTTTAAAGGCGGGGCTCACACTTATAATCCCAACACTTTGGGAGGCTTAGGTGGGAGGATGGCTTGAGCCCAGGAATTTGGGACCAGCCTGGGCGACATAGTGAGACACTGTCTCTACAAAAAATTTAAAAATTGCCTCAGAGTGGTGGCACGCACCCATCTGGGGCCAAGGTTGCCAAAGATTGCCTTGGGGGGCCTGAGGTGGGAGGATCCCTTGAACCCAGGAGGTCAAGGCTACAGTGAGCCATGATCACAGAGCTAGACACTATCTTAAAAAAAAAAAAAAAAAAAGAATTTAAGATTGCCATAGCAGAGCATTGAGCATTAAACCAAGTGCCCAGAGCTTCCGAGCAAGGCCTGCCACTGTGATGCCACCCCTGTGTGTCCCTTCTCACCCTCAGAAACCAGGTCCTGCTCTGGACTGCAGAGAAGGGATTGGGGCTACAGTTCAGCCTGGGAGAGGGCAGCCCAGGGACACCCAGAAAACAGAGAAAACAGAGGTGTACAGGGTGGGGCCCCAGAGGCAGCTATGGGTTCAGCGAGGACGAGGCAGAGCGCACCATTTATACTGAGGGCTGCCGGGAGCGGGGTGGGTGCATTCTGAAGCAGAAAGGAGCTCCTCTTGGGGCTGGACCGAGGGGTGAAAGAAGGGGAGGAGGCTGGGACGCAGGCAGGGTGTGTTCTCAGGTCTTCTAGGTTCAGGAGTGGTTCACAGCAACCTGAGGGATCAAAGGGCAGTTTTGAGGTGTCCCTGCCACTCACTCTGGCCAACTCCTCCAGACACCCATGGACACAAGGGTCACTCTGGAAAATCAGGCATTTAGTCTTGCTTCCTGGTAATGATAACAACTGACATTTTTATGGAGCACATTTCATATACCCGGCACCCTGGTAAATAGTTAACATGTGTAGTCAATGACCTTAACTCAGGGTACAAATATGGTTACTTTTTAATTTTTCTCATTGATTGCCCAAATACCTCATGTACCATTATTGGCAGAAAAAAAATCAATACCACACTCTTGGAACCCACTCTCAAATTGTCCAAGAACCTCAGGGGTTTCCCTCCTTCAAAGAGCGGGTTCTCTGGAAAGTCTGAGCAGTCGCCTGCAGTTGTTCCCACGCCCTCCACACAGTGGCGCTGTGGAACACCGGGCCTGCACGGTCCTGTGGCTTCTGAGGCTTGGCTACCTTCACTGCGCAGGCTGCAGGTGGGATCCATCCTTCCAAAACAAAGTTACCCTTCTTTCAGTCACCTTTACAAGCTGAACGATCTTTCCCCAAAGAGTAGCAGCATGCCAGGGGTGCTGGGTCCTGTGACTCCCAGTCAGCTACACAGTCTGGTGGGGGAACCGCACAGACTCACTCAGGTTCTCTCTGGCCTAGTGAAGCAACTTTTTAGACAGTAAATTTTAGTTAGTCCCGGGGTCTTAACTCTTTCCTCCTCAAAGGCCCTGGCTTTGCAAAATGGTTCCCTCCTCCCCAGCAACTAGCTCTGCATTCCAAGGGGCCTTGAAAAGGGGCAGCCTTTGTCAGGCCTCAAAAAGTCCAATTCTACTCTTCCCCCAGGGCAATGGGTGCCTACTCAGCCACATTTACATAACTAAAGGAGACCACTAAAAGAATCCTACCCTTAACAAAGAAAGCCTGTTCCTAGGTGACTTATTCTGTGCACCTAAACTGAGAAGGAACAGGGAAAGCTTCTGGAATCCTGTTATACACCATGTTCAAATTAAGAAATGGAGGGCCCTAAGAGAAAGATCCCACGGCTATAGTGTGACAGGCACGATTTGAACTCTGTGCCCTGCACGCCTAACCCCCACACCCTACTGTCTCCCAAGAGCCTCCAGCCTCCCCTCTTTTCTTCTTAGCAGTAACTTAGTCGTAAATCTGTGTTTGTTGTTTCTGCCTAAAAGGAGGAAAATGTTATGTCCAATGAGTGATTGAAATTGTGGTGTTTGGGGAAGCCCAGTGTTATTAGGGCTGTAAGAAATAAATTTTTCCAGGTAGGTATTGAAGCTATTGTGAAGAAAAACTTTTCTGTTCCAATGAAACACTATACATCATCTAACGCACAGCCGGACCTGTCTGCTTCCAGCCCCATTCATGGTCTTTGAGCTATTTTGCACCTTTTTAAGTTGCAGGTACTGAGGGCTTTGCAGACTGTTTTGTCAGGTGAAGCTTCCATTGCCTTCTCTTCCCCCCCACCCCGCACCCCCCACGGTGGAAAAACCAGTTTGCCTCCGTTTGCAATTCAATTCCTTTACTCCATATAAATTTGTGCTTTTTGATGTCTCCTTTGAACCAGTTATAACATCTGCCTTGTTCTTCTTATGCGTAAAATAAATCTTTAACACATGCTTGGTTTTTATTTCTGAACAAAGGTCACAAATTTACCTTTTTCTGAAAATTGTCTTTTACTAATTGCCTTTATGTAACTGAAAATGAACACAGATACATTATCAAACAATGCAATTTTTGCTTACATTTCTAAACAAAGCTTGAACCTTGGAATAAATTGTGTACTCACTGTAGGCCCTTCCTAAGTGAGCCAAAGCTTAGAGCTCAATCCTTTTACAGCGTTTTGCCCACCCCCCACCCCGGGAATTCGAGAAAATATCTAGTCCAGATCGCAACCAGGCAGAATGAATCCGAACGAGTGAGTGGGTGGGGCATGAGCCCAGACACTTTTTATAGCTCCCAGGTGACTCGGACGAGCACCGAAGCTGGGAACTACCGGCCCGGGCCGGGATTGATGGACCGTGCCGCGCAGCCGGTGACCTATCACGAATCACCTTGGCTTTGTTTTCCGAGCTCAGGCCGAATCCCACAGGAATGCGCGGAATCCCTGCCCCCACCCCCGGCGAAGCTGTCCCCGTCGGGCTCCACCTGCCCCCCCCCCCCCGCCCCACCGCTCCTCGTCACTGGGCAGCCGGGTGGGTGCGGGCTCCCGGGGCGCGATGAGCAGAGCCCCTCGCAAAAACCGCCTGGGCTGAGCCGGGGACAACCGCGCTCGGCCGTCGAGGGTGGAGCGAGCCTGGTGTGTGTGGTGGGGGTAGCGTCCGCTGTATTTTGGGGCCTGCGGAGGAAGTGGGGATCTCTGCGCCACGGGGTGCGCGCCTCAAGCGGCGGCATCTCCCCTCGGGACCGGCCGCGCGGCCGGGCGAGGCTTAGGGTACGAGGCGGCGCAGACCCCCTTGCCTGCTGCTGGGCCCGGGGCGGGGCGGGGCCCCACGAGGAGCAAGGGGCGGGCCGGGCCGGAGGGCTGGGTGAGTCCCAGCCCGGGCGATCCCAGGAGATGGCAGGGAGCGCCCCCAAGTGCCCGCCGGGGGCGTCGTGACGCTGAGGTGGATGGGGCCGCAAGATTTGAGCAGGTTGTGTGAAATCTGGACCTCCACTACTTGTACCCCAAGGCATCTGTGTTATGCGGATTTATGCTGGAAAGCGCCATACCACGCTGTCATCAGGAACTGCTTCCTGGCACCGAGGTTCCAGGGGCTGCTCGTTCCCTTCTCTGGCTCATCTGTGTAAAGAAAACGTTCCTCCAGGAGCCTTTCACCGAGCTCAGGCCTGAGGCTTAGGAGACCCGAAGGTGCGAGATCCCGACAGCCTCGGCAGCCTCGGAGGGATAAGGTGGCTTCCAGACCCCCAGGGCCACTTTGGGGGCCCCTACCAGGGAAGGAGAAATTGTCTTGTTTTACCGGCCCGGGAGGTGAGTGCAGCCCTGCAGGTCATCAGAAATCACAGCTGTGGGCCCAGCCCACACACCTGTGAGGTCAGAACTGAGGCCTCGGAGAGCAGGATAGAGTTTGCTGTTCTATTGTTTAGTATCTGATCCCACAGACAAATGATACAATAATCAATTTTCCATAAAATCTTCATATAAAAGCCAACATTGGTAAGGGTATGTTTGGTTTCGAGTGATGTGAGATTCGGCTCAGGTGGACACAGTGGCTCACACCTGTAACCTCAGCACTTTGAGAGCCCTAGGTGGGTGATCGCTTGAGCTCAGGAGTTTGAGACCAGCCTGGGCAACATGGTCAAACACTATCTCTACAAAAAAGTACAAAACCAGACATGGTGACATGAGCACCAGCAGTCCCAGCCACTGAGGGTTGCGGGGCTCAAGGAGTTATGAAGGGAGGATTGCTTGATCCTGGGAGGTTGAGGTTGCAGTGCCCATGCACTCCGGCCTGGGGTGACAGAGTGAGACCTTGTCTCAAAAAAAGAAAAAAGAAATTCTGCTCCAGTTGGTTGCAACCAGCAAGGTGATTTGTGGGCTCACAGAAGTGGAAGTACAGGGATGCCTGCCTCAGGGCCTGATCCAGACAGAAGCATAAAACAGCCACTCCCCACGCTGGAGCTGCCTAGCTGGCAAGGGTCAGGTTGA